GCTGTTATCATTTTGATAACTGACAGCTCAATATAGCATATTCTGTTGCTTTACTAGGAGTTTATGGTCTAATCTTATTGGTAATAACAGTATGTTTACGTGACTTTATGTGAAATTGAAAGAGAAATTTGAAGAGCACTGTCTAGGATTTCTGATCTAGATATCGTTGACTCCACAGTGTTGGCTACAAGGAATGGGCAAAAACTGAGCAGGTGAAATACTTTTGTGGAAGTGGACTGGGTAGCTACAGGGAGTCAGAGGTAATGATCCAGGCATGTGTGAGTAGAGAAGATAAAGATCCTCCGTCATCATATCCGGATCTTACTCAAATATATAAGGATTTTTGCGAGTTGAATTTACATGCCTCCGTCAGCCAGAAAATCACAAGCTGGACAAGACAGTAGAGGGTTTTGAACAAAATGAAAATATTTTTGGTTATTTTTGTACAAATATATTGTCCTCAAGAGCTGGTATGTACTACTACGAGTTGCACCAGACAACATATAGTAGGAAACAGTCCTTTCCCCAAAAAATCTTAACTCTATGTTTGGACCCATCAATTCTCTAACTAAATGACCAAACAGGAACTGAAGGCTAAATTTTCCAAGCAGTGTTCTTCAACCTGTGGTGTAGGGACCACTGTGGTCTCTGCAAGAGATCAAACTGCAGTTGGCAAAATTTAAATAAATATCTAAAATCTGTGCATGCAGGTTTCAGCCCATGTAAACACATAAACAAAACTGGAGAAAAGTAAAAGGAGTATTCAAAGTTTAGCTTAATGGAGGATGCTCCACAGATAATTTTTTTTTAAAGACAATTAGGAGAACCTCCTATTAATTACATTAAAAAGCAAGACTTTTCAGTTAAAACATACAGTTTCCCAACTTTGTGCTATATGCTTTCACAGGTACAGAAACATTGCAGGCTCCTTTCCTCTGCCACATTCAAACCAGAAACAATAGCAGTGGCTGCAACAGTAGAAGAACAAGTAAGAACCACTTTCGGAGATAAAGAAAAGTAACTAGTCGACTGAAAATTGGAAGGGAGAGAAAGGAAAAGTTAGACTGAGGTCATGGTGTGATAGAGTTTACAAATCTAAATGAATACTGAAACTATGCTGTGGCTTTCTTCATAGAAAACCATATAAAGCCTCTCTGTTAGTGTGTCAGCTGGAAGATCTGAAAAACAAAAATAAAGTAGAGGAAAAAAAGATGAAATACTTGCGGCAGTCTTATCCGCTTCAACAAGAGCCACAAGGGAGGGAAAAAACTGCTCAGAGGTTCGAAAAAGTATGTGGGGCAAAGTTACTAAAGAGAAACAGGAAAGCTGTATAATGGTTTTCCCTCGTCTACATCTTAGCCAGCCTTGATAGTCACAAGAAACTGTAGTCTATATTCTGTCTTTATATATATGCACCTAAGATGCCAGGAACTCTGCCACCCAATATATGTAGCAATCTAACATCTCTCACACCTCTGACCTCTCTAAGAACGTCATTCTACAAACTTGGGAGAGACTAGGTCTCCCAAATCCTCTTGACAGCATAAAATACTAAAAGTCCTTGAGCAGATTAAATGGACTTGACTTACAGTAATTATTGTGCAGAACAGATTTTTCCATCATAGAAAGTCAGTATTCCACATGGAACTTTGGCAGATATCGCAGTTCCTTCATTTTTTCAAATCATGCAAAAGGAGAAAATGTAAGATTGCAGAACTGAAAATAGGTGAAGAGAGATTTTCATCATAACCCTGAGGACCGGAACAGCTTAGTACAGTCCTGGGACTTCAGGTTAATTGCTGGGGAGATGCTGGTGCTTAGAGACAGAACTGTCTCTATTGATTTTCTCTGTCCATACAGTTTGTGCATAAATAGCAGGGTGACCACACCTAGCAAAGAAAATTAGGTTTAACTAAAGGGAACGCTTTCCTCAAAAGATAACGATGGGCTTGTTTGGAGAGCCTTTCTCCTAATCAGGTTCGAAGAAGGGCCAAGGGAAATGGGAACTGCTTTACCCATGAACCCTGATACCAACAGCAATATAGCACATATTTTGTAATAGAGAGTACACAAAAATGCGGCATTTTTTTCTATAATCCTT